AGGCGCGTGCTAGTTTATATGGTCACCCCTCCGCCTTCTTTGAACTGCCTGCCCTTTCGCGGCAGGGAACAAGGAAGGTATTAGGCAAGTATATTTCCCGCCCCAAGATGTCTGGTGGGAACCATGTAACCGTAATGAAAATTATGTCTGCATGCAGGTTATAACACAATGCTCTTAGCTCCAGCAGTTTACTCCTAGGACCTCTTACATTACTGTAGGGGTATATCAGGAAGCTACGTTCTGGGTTTTGTGCGGCCCAAGAAATTGTGTGGAGGCCAGTGTGCTGTTGCGTCGGGTCCTGGCTGCCAGCCACCACTGGACTGTCAGGTTTCCGGTTCTTGGTGTTGTTGTGGTGGTGTCCATCACTATGTCTACAGGCACTGGTCCACTAGGTAGTATGTGTGGGTTGGGTTGCATTCTAAGTCTCGCTATAAAATCCCACTGCATACGCAGAATGTCTGTAGCACCTAAGGACTTTCAAAGGATCTCACTGAATTTTAGGCATATTATAATCAATCCCTACAATTTTGTAAAGTTAGAGGAAGAAACACCTCCGGATATGTCACCGACGTGGCCACAGGTATACAGTATGACCCACATTGAGTCGGGTACGTGCGCTCCCATGTCTTCATATAACATTCGGCCATGTGATCTATTGACAAAAATAACGGCGCCACTTCCTTGCTCAATATCTCTTCGAATTCAATGGTGATCATAGTCGACAAGGCTTGTCAGCCCATCACCAAAATCATCTGGTGTCCATATCCCAGCTGTCGGAAGCACCAACAGGTAACAGAAACATATGAGGGAATGCATGCAAGAAATTTTTTGTTAATGGATTGGGCATCATTTAGAATAAGAGCGAAATTGGAAGTGCAGTTTACGAGAAGCTGCGAAAACTGCAACAAACGGTACCCTCGGAAAGGGATTCGGATGGATAAGATTTGGTGGATAAACAAAGGGCTGACTCATATTCTGATAAAAGACTGCCTTTTAGATTACTGTCGAACACTTCGGAATATTTGCTTCCTTGGCATTTCATTAGCCCGCAGCCATTAATGCCTTTACTGTCAGTTTGCAGCTGGGGCAATTCGGTGGGAACTGTGAGAAGTGCTGTCAGTTAACAGTGGAGTTGGCTCGTGCTTGCCACTGGTTCGGTTTGTTGAAGTTGGTGCACACATTGCACTAGGGATACGCTGATGTACTTGCATTTAGAAATGACCCGAAACGGAGAGACGTGTAGTTAATTTCCTATTTTCGCCCTGGGCTATGTGGAAGACACTTCATTGGGTCTGAGATAAGGGTGTTTGTAGGTGAGTTCGTTGGCTCAGTATCGCTTGAGTAAGTCTTACGAAGAGACAGCTATGGTCTGGGCTTTCTGTGGATGCTGCTGATTTACTGGATTTTACATCCAAAGTAGCCCCATTCAGGTCACTACCAAGACACTGTACAATTATGTTGGCTTTTACTCGTTTTATTCTTTGTTGTCTGCGAGGCATTAACGTTCCTCCTCTGAATGCACCTCTAATGTGCCGTGAATGATGACGTCTGATATATTGCTTGATATTGCGCATAACAGTCAGTTCACATTACCAAAACGATCAAACCTGTAGACTGGTTCGTTTTCACGTAACTCGTATTATGTGGAATATATCACGATTTTTAAGGCATTGTACTTCGGAGAGAACACAGGCACTCGAGAAATAAGGACAAACTTAGGATGCTGACGTCTGACTGTTTATCCGTAAGGGATGACGAATCGTAGGGGTAGAAGATAAATTGACTGGACGTGTGCATAAATCTTCGTCTGTTAGTTAATTCGTGGCATCAGTAGCAGGCAAATATATCGTGTTAGTAAATGAAAGAGTTGCATGCCCCGAGCAACTTTATTCAAACTTCTTGACGAATGCTGCATATGTCAGTATCACGTTAATGGTGAAACTAATTTTTTGTACATATCGGACAGTGAACAACTCAATTGATTACATCTTTTTGAGTCCTGTGGTATTTGTCTTTTAGTTTGCCCGTCGTTGACGTGCGTTCGATTGGCGCGTATTGGTTAGGATTAGGCCTTAACATACTGGTTAAACACGGGTGACATCTACCCGTGTTGTCCGATTTACGTTGGAACGCGTTTGGAGCTGATACCGTTGCGCACACTCAAGCCACATAATGGCCCCTCACCACAAGCGTTGCTGTTGAAATTTGTAAACTCATCGTTGGTTCGGTGTGAAATCTTCGGTTACTTTGTCAGTTATGTATGACATACGCAGTCATAGATATGTCGAACTTCTGGTAGATCTTGAGTCGCCGAGCGCGATTAGGACCATCTCGCTCGACTAACTAAGTACGGCACAGCTGTAGCCATAAGCCTTTCACATTTTGCAGTAGGCCATGGTCAGGAAGATTGCACACCAAGGGATCACAGGACAATATGGCCTCGTCGGTGACATCTGCAACGAACTGAATTTGAAGCTTTTACTTGTGAAAAGTCTCAGAAATGATGCAAGTATTTGTCACACTCATACGCTGATGCAGCATATTTAGCCAGGGTGGTGTCAAAGTCTGTCACAGTTGTCTACTGAGAGTATGCGCCATCTCTGACAGCAGTGGTGTTATTGAGTACTTCTGACGTTACGTCAGGGACAACCATCCCAGGTGTACCTTTTGGTGCGAACAAAACGAGGTGAGGCACATGGAAGTCAACTGGTTTTATCAGTGTAGCTCGGCAAAAAATTTTCCCACTTATCACTGTATTCCTTAAGTTCAGCAGAAGTCCTTCATTTAGGAAGTTACAAAAACCACTGTCACGGGGCGAAAATTTCTTCGTGTACATAAATGTATATTTAAATACATATGTTACCAGGCAACACGACACCTGGACGTAAGCTGATAGGAACAGTTGAGGGTGGACTAACGGGTTGAACGCTCATAAAATGGGTCAAAAGACAACCTCATATGACAGTTGAGAACAAATAACAAAGCTGTGCAAAAATCAGCTTGTTGAAGTTCTCAGTTATCGTATAATACAGGGGAGAGGCAACAAGAAATACGTCACTATTGTTAGCGAAGACCTGTCCCCCCTTACTAGATTTGAAAACGTAATCTGCGCAAATGACTCCCAGAGAGAGATGATACAGGGCGACATGGCGACGCGGACTGCACCACGTACAGTGCATCCATTCAACGATTACAAAAAGATAAATGACGCATACACCCGGTGCTTTTTATTGCAGTGGGGAACTACACCCATAGGACTAGTTAATATTTCAAAACAGAATCGTTGAGGCCTTTACGACTACCTTTGACCACGCAGCGTGCGCTTGCCTGCCAAAGTTACAAAATAGTGATAGTATTTCACTCTTGGATTTACCGCAGCATACTGCTCACACGGACAAGGTTATCAGAAAATACTTACAGGCTTTTGTGCAAATATTTACGCCGTTTTAATTGTTTTCCAGACGATGACAATCCCTAGGTGCGACAGAAACAACAATGTGTAAGGTACGGTTGATACGTGAACACTGGATATTTTAAATTTTTGTGATTTATAAGAAGGTGAAATTGCGTAATTCATGCTGAAGGAAAGTGTTAGTGAAGATGCCCAGTCATAAACGGGAAATAAATTATGAAGACTGAAATTAAGTAATTCCTACCAGTAGGAGATAAGTCATCCCTATTTCGGTGAAGAAAACAGTTGTTTTCGTGATAAGATGGGGTATACTGTCGATAGTGCGGTATCGGTGTCTAAGTACCACTTATGTTATTCCCATAAAGCCTCGTAAGATGGGCACATAAACGGAGAATTTGCCCAGAAAAGTTATCATCGTGTTCCAAAAATCTTACATAGGCGTGTGACACATCTTCAGTTCCAACGTGCTTTCGGTTTGCTTATCTATATTAAATCCGCTTCCAGTGTCATCTACCATTTGTAGCAAAGCCATGACAACCTATGCGTTGATGGTCGTCAAACTCCACCCACTCCAGGTGTAAGTTCAAAGATTTCGCTCCGCAAAAACTGAATTTCAGGTTTTTGGGGTATGGTGTGCAATCGCGCCTACCGACATGAACATCTGCCACCATGAGTATAAGTAAGTTTTCCCGACCCCGAATATTTGTTTAACACTGTCTGATAGGACGAGTCGAGTGCTTTCTGTCTTGGCTAGGGGCAAACTGAAAACTGTGAGGGTGGTTCCATGAATAAGCAACTTCGTGCTGTGATCTATCAGTCATCGTCGATGGGCATCTACTGGTAGGCAGCGACGGTTCAGCAAATCTGGCAAATATAGGTATAGAAACACCAATCACAAGAAATATTCAGTGGGCAGGTTTGCAATGCAACGCAAAGCAACAACGTGCAAAGTGGTGTTGATACTCGTTTATGTGCCTTCGTCCTAGCTATTTCCATAAAACTTTGAAGGTCAATATCAGCGTTGAATCTCGTCGAACACTAGGCAACCGGTTTTGGGAGATTATTGGCCACTACATATATTGTTGTCCAGAGGAACAGAACAACCCACTAGAAGCTGCGAGATACCATGCACACGCCATTCACTTAAAAATGGAATAATTACAAAGATATCGGAGAAGTTTGGAGGACCTCAAAATTTTTTATAATTGTGGTTTTGGCTAAAATATTTAAAACTACAAGTAGGGAAAGGCCGAGAGTGATGGTAAACCTTCAGTAATCAGAAAAGCTATAAGTTCTCAGAGTTTGACCGAGTGATATAACAGAAATCAAATCTTTCAAAAGCCCATCAAATATTGTAATCTCTTTTAGACTCTCAACAGTTGCATTTCATGACTTTCTGGATTTTGAAGACTTCATCACCTTTTTCGACATTTTTAGCATAAAGATTTGAAAAAGGTTCAGAAGTACGAGGTCCTAAATAAATATACGAAGAACATGTTCATGATGTTTGTTTTACTGTACAACGTCATAGCAAAGGTTACGCAGATTTTCGAACGGATTCTCTGACTGAGCAGTAGGCGGTCTCAGAATGGCAAGTTATATTGCTGTCAGCTATTTGTTTCTAGGTCAACCGTTCAGCAAAAAAGAAGAAAGAGGATGAAAATAAATTAAACGAAGAAAGTTTGTCATGAATTTCATATAACATTCGGGGAAGATGAAGCCAGACTGAAAGCCCAAGAGCAGGAAAATGAAAGGATAAGAATCGAAAAAGAGAGCAAAAGACTGAGGGAAATGCAGGAAAAAAAGGTTAGTTTTGTTCGATAGATAGTTGTTGGCCTTCCAACCACGACATATATTTGCATCCAGATCCAGACTTAGATTCAGATTTGCAGGATAGAAACCTATAAGCCTGTCGTAATCTCCTTGCACTTGATTTCTGTGCTTGTCCAATCCTCTTTCAGGGGATTAAAGGGTGATTTCAGGAGTTGAATACTCAGATTCAGATTTATTGTTTTAGGACAGAAGTCTGTAAGCCTAAAGTAATCCATTTCCAGTAGATTTCTCTGCTTTCCCAGCTCCTTTTTGAGCGAGTTAATTCATGGCACGGACAATATCTCTCCTGAGAGTCGGTCCTAAGCGTTGATTACTCGACGTGAGAGCCAGTACTATGAGGAGATTATGTCCGTTTTTTGCTATTGTATCCTCCTACTATGTCCTCTGAGGTCTTCCAACCTAGTGGGAAGGAAAAGAGAAGATAGATCAGGTTTGAAGTCATTTCTTAGGATCATGAATAACATGATTAGGTCTTCCTTCTGTCTGTGATAGGACAAAATGAAGAGGTCCAGCTCCTGATGTCGACCTTCATAGGTGTGGCTTGGCATCAAAGGGATCATACTAGTGGCTGCCCTGTGAACTCCTTCCAGAGAGTCTGTGTCTCCTTTCAGACGAGGATTTGTGATCTATGTTCAGTTTCCCAATTTAGATCTAGCTAAGGGTATGTATAAGATGGTGAATATATCATCATTTACTTTTCTAAACGTTCTGCGTAATGCTCAGAGAATCCTAAAACACTGAGCTGCTACCAGTCAATAGTGTGCCTTGGTTTCCAAGTCATAACTCACTGCGACTCCTAGGTCATCGTGGGTCAGTACTGATGGTAGAGGAGCCTCATCAATATCGTAGATGTTGCTGTGTGTGTGTGTGCCCCATGTGCAAGCTCAAACTACATTTGATGACATAAGACGTTCGGGTTCTAGTCTCAGGACAAGTAAGGCTGCATATAGTACTGAGGTTTTCGGCTAAAACAGAGGCTTAACTTCTGGACGAAGCACGAGGACAGCTTTGATTTTCGTGCATTCCCCAAGCCCATCACAGAATACTGTGACATATCTCAGTCGTAACGTATCTGTTAGCTTCAGATGAATATGTGATGACATGATAGGTTTCCGTTGCTTCATAACTTGAGCCAGATTGAAGATAAGGTCCATGGGTTCTTTAGTCAGCTTTGGTTTTTCTATCCAGTCTAAACCAAAAAGATCGAATGGTGGTCGATTTTTTAGGTGCAGTAGTTCATTAGACATCTCATTGTCATGCACAACAGTACAATGAGCTCCACCAACAATATGGAGCTTACCCTCATGATGCACTGCCAGCACCCTCAGTAGTTGGGTGGCTTTTCTGTCTACCTATTTGCTGTCATATTTTTCTACTGATAGGTGTTGTGTCGGAAGCTGAATCAAGCAGTAAACGAACCTTATGTCCGTTGATTTTTCTTTGTAGCACCGTTACTGCGATATTTTGAAGTTTTTATTCTAATGACTTCATGAGTATAGCCGTGGGTGATTTCGACGTTTAGCTCTACAATGGTTCTCTGTATGATTTCGTCGAGAACACTTCCTATGTCGGCGGGTAAAAGTTCAAAAAATGCCAAACACCAACAATGCTAACATACAGAGAGTGGTTTTGGCTCATTTTTATCATTTTTCACGTTTAGACGTGCTTTGTTGAAAGGAGGAGGAGGAGAAGAATCGATGAGCATCATCATTAACAGGTTTTTTGTTAACCACAGAGGTACTCCAAATCCCAACATACCAACTGAAAAATCTCCTCTAGAGTACCTGTTTGTTCGCTGAATAAGGACTGTTTTTGGATCTATACTGTTCAAAACTAAGTCAAAAAGGAGCTAGTGGCTACAAAGCAGGAAATTCCGACCTGGAAAAAAGGTTATAGTCCAAAACTATCCGGGTGGAAATTTATGTGAAATTGAAGTAATAATATATAAAATTGGAAAAGTACTCTGGAAACTGCAAGTTGGTCCAGAAATCTGGAGGAGACACATAAATCAACTAATGCCAAGAGGTCATGATCACCTCTCTCTGCTAACCACTTTATATGTTACTGAACAACCCACAACAATCAGAAAGCGATTCACGATTTCCAAACAATAGGAAGAACTGCCAGAGTTCTGCTGGCCCGGAGTCATCACAGCGTCGAATGACTGGTTTCAAGAAGCCCAAAGCAACGCTCCTAAGTGTAGTTTTTTTAGAGAGAGATATTAGGAAGTGTGACAATATATTCCAGGTTCCTTAAAGAAGCCTGAAAAGCTTTTAAAACCAATCATGATAAGTCACGAGAAACCATGTGATTACATGTGTGAGACTCAGACAGGCTCAAGGACTCTCAAGGGATGTGAAGAACTTGCCAAGGCCATAAACGGTTAATTTTTGTGCATATTCGACTTGACAGCAAACCCTTATCACTTTTGCCGTTTCTTCCTTGTTTTCGAAGAACTGAGCAACCCTGAAGGGTGAAGCATATATATATATATATATATATATATATATATATATGTACCACAAGGATATATCAGTGTCTCGCCAATATCTTAGGTGTTGCCGCCTGCATGCTGCATGTGCATGCTTACACACTTTCCTGAGTTGATAGATGCTAGCCACCTCTTTGACCAGATTGAAAAATTGTTTAGTTCTGTCTGAAGTTTACAAACATCCTCAGCATCACTAATTTCTAAGCATAATTTTACATCAGCATAGTAAACCATGTGTTTGAACTTCAAGGATATATATATATATATATATATATATATATATATATATATATATATATATATATATATATGATCCACATTTTCGCTCTGTTATCTTATTGAAATCACTCTACTGCATTTAAGCTTAGATTCTGGTAGTCTAACATGAAAACACGAAGATAATGAAACATATAAGTCTTGTTTCTGTTGTTCTGATTAACTTTAGGCTTGTAATTTAAAATTATTTATCAAAATACCTTTACGGATCCAACTTACTACCGTTGGTTGGTTGACTACCAGTCCTTTAGGTATAAATAAAGGTAATAAAACATTTCAGGTATTGTTTGGACCAATGTAGAAATACACGTTCACCTATCCTTGAATCACCAGCTTTTGCTTACTCTTCTACCATGTGAAGGTCCGAGTTTTTATTCCTGGTCATTATAAATCTTCTGATTTTACTGATTTGACTATGAGAGTATGTAAGACTGGTTGTGAAGCTGGTGCATATCACACAGTTAGTCTTATGCACACCAGTATGGGCTATGACCAACCTAATAATCATCTTATCTACGTGTAAGTAATGAGTACAATACAAGAATAAGAAGACACATTTAGATAACTATTCTGTATTAAGTAATAAGGATACTAGGCCAGTTGTCTTGTGTTAATATTATCACCAGATATCTCTGTGAAGATCTAGTTTCGCTTTGAATACGTTAATTGGATGACTTCTGGTCACTGATAACTTGACGGGAGAGACTCGGGTTCAAGCTAAGTTGATTTAAACATGGTTTTTTGATTTCCTTATGTCGCCGCCAGAGATAATCAACATTGACAGAAGAGAAAAGATAAGATATATAAATATCGAAGTCATTGTTAGGGATATGGGATGGAAGTTTAAGGTCATCTTTTTCCCTAATGTAATACGTTATCATCATCAAGATCAACATAGGGCCAGGCACTACTGCGTAACAGTCCGAGTTGCCACACCTCATATCAGCACTTCAAGTAACAAGGCAGTAAAGTGGCAGATGAGGAAGGAAAGGAAGATAAACCAAAGGAAGTAAATGTAGAAAGCAGTAGAAGGAAGGAAGGAAGAGAAAGAAGATGATTAAATAGCTGCTTCCTTGACGTGGTGGTTGGGCTAATATGTCACGATGACCCAATGAGCTGTGCTGCTCGAACGCTTGTCCCCACGATGTTCTACCACACCGGAAAGGTTTATTGGATAGTGACTAGACAAAGACATTTACGTCTTGCTCAACGTATTCTTAAACAATAACATGATGCATTATGACGGCTTATATCTGTCATCAGTGGTTAGTGGTGATCCGAAACCGCAGGATGGATGTCCGACCATACCTTCCACAATATAGGCCAATTTTCGTCACATCAAAAAGACTGTACCATTCTTTTTCAGGTACCTGAAGACGACCTAGCCTTCCACGATATGGCTGCCTGGAAGTGGCAACAGCCCTCTTAACTCTGTCTATGCTCAAGTTCCCCATCCACGTCTTCAATACTTACCTTCTTATCTCTCTTTACGTCTCCTAAGGTAAGACAGTGGGAATAAATTCAGTCGATCAAGTTCTTCCTCATAGGATATATTTGAAAGACCAGCCAGAAGCTTAATACCCACCCTGTGAACACACTCAAGTATATCGGTATCCCATTTCAGGTATGAACTGGCTCCCTGAATACATTATTCCAAATGAAGTTTCACGTATGTAAAATAGAGTATGAACAACACATCCTGACCAAAACTTATGAAAACCCTAAGGATGAGCCATAATACACGGAAGCCTTTCGCTGCAGCTGAACTGCAGTGTGTGGAAATTTTTAAGTCACAGCTTATAATGAGACACAAGCCATTAAATTTAAAGACCAGGAATAGTGGTGTATCATCAACGGAATATTGTAAACAATTACTATCACCAGGAGACATTATTGCACTTTTACTAGAGTTAATTTCTGGTTGTCAACTTTTAGATCAATCTAGCAGTTTATTGAAATCTGCTTGATTATTATTATTATCATTATTATTATTATTATTAGTCCCTTGGGTTCCTAGTGGAACATAGGGCTTCAGTAGCACGTCTCCAGTGACCTCTGTTCTCTGAGATCTTTTGAACCTGGTTCCACGACAGCCCACAACCTCTCATTTCCTCCTCGCACGACCTCCTCCATGTCACCCTTCGACGTCCAACTCGTCGCTTCCCATGGGGATTCCACTCGAGTACATGGCCTGACGCGTGATGTCCTCAGTCGGCCTTCTCAGTGCATGGCCAATCCATCTCCACTTCTTCCTGCATATTTGTTGCGTGATAGGTTCTTGGTTGGTTCGTTCCCAGAGTTCCTTGTTGCTTATTCTTTCTGGCCATCTGATCCTCAGTAGCGAGCGTAAGCAGTTGTTGATGAATGTCTGTAGTTTATTGGAAATGCCTTTCGTGACGCGCCAAGTCTCTGAACCATACAGAAGCACTGACTTGACGTTGGTGTTGAAAATCCGTATCTTGTTCCGCATGCTGAGTGCAGTAAAGCAGATCTCCACACTGGTTTCAGGCTAATGAAGGCCAGTCTTGCTTTTCCGATTCTGACTTTGACGTCCTCGTCCGTCCCGCCTGTAGTTGAAACAGTGCTTCCTAGATAAGTGAAGGAGGTTACTTCCTTTAAGTTTCTCCCATTGATGGTGATTGGGGTTTGTTGTTGTTGGTGGTGGTGCGGTATCTTCATCACTTCTGTCTTCTCTATATTCACCTGAAGTCCCGTCTTCGCTGCCTCTTCTATCAACTTGTTAGTTTCTGCCTGCAGATCTTCAAGTTTATGTGACATTAGGCACAAGTCATCGGCGAAATCCAAGTCTTCTAGGTTCTTTTCCGCAGTCCAGCCAACGTATCCCCCTCTTCTCGCTGCCCACTGTTTGCTGCATGATCCAGTCCACCACAATCAGGAAGATCATGGGGGATAGTAGGCAACCTTGTTTCACTCCTGTCTTCACTTCAATTCAAAAGCATCACTGAGCTTCCCATTGTGAATTACTTGGCATGTGGCATCTTCATATAGTTGTTGAATGAGGCGGATAAAGGTTTGCGGTACTCCGTAGTAGTGAAGCAGTTTCCAAATTACTTCTCGGTCGACGCTGTCAAAGGCCTTCTCATAGTCGATGAAGTTGAGGTGTAGAGTCGGCTGCCATTCTATAATCTGTTCTATGATGATGCGAAGCGTTGCAATTTGGTCTGCACATGATTTGTACTTCCTGAAACCAGCCTGCCTGTTCCAGTCGTAGTTTTGAATCCAGTGCATCTTTAAGCCTCTCCAAGATGATGCGGCTTAATATTTTGCTTGCTGTGTGTGGACAGGAGAGTGATTTCGCGCCAGTTCTTGCAAACACTGAGGTCTCCTTTCTTCGGCGGTTTGACAAGGTAACCTTTCTTCCAATCGCCAGGTACCTTCTCTTCCTTCCACACCTTCTGCAATAGTGGTGTGAGCATGTCCGCTGTTGTCTCTGCATCTGCTCTCATTGGTTCTGGCGGTATCCCATCTGGTCCTGCTGCTTTCCCACATTTCAGTAGCTTTATGGTGTTCAAGACTTCCATTTTTGTTGGAGGATTTATGTTCACTTATAGTTCTGTGGCTGGGCTGCGGGTGGTATTCCTGAACGAAGTGCAGGTGGTGGTGGGGGTCGATTCAACAGCTTTTTGAAGTGGTCGGCCCATTGTTCCCTTTGTTTCTCTTCTTTCGTAATTAAATTTCCCTCTTCATCTTTTATTGGTTTCATCTGTGTTGATCTCTTCCCTGATAGCAACCTGGTTATTTGATACAATGTTGTCAGGTCTCTCTTACCTGCAGCCTGTTCTGCTTCACTTGCCAGTGTTTCGTAGAAGTATCTTTTGTCTTTCCGTGCACTCTTCTTCACTTCTTTGTCCAGTGTTTTATACACTGTACTCAGTTCCTCTTGTCGTTGAGCGTCCTTGCACTGGTTTATCTTCTGCTTCACCATCCTCCTCTCCTCTATCAGTTTCCAGGTATCCGTCGAGATCCATTCCTTGTCTTCTTTCTTCTTCCTTCCTAATACTGTTGTGCAGGTTTCTTTCCACATAGCTTTCAAAGACTTCCAGTGTTCTTCCACACAGGTTTCTTCAGGGATGTCCCTCGATATCTCCCATTTTGTCTTGATGGCTGCCTTGAAGATCTCCTTTGTAGTTTCATCCTTCAGTTTCCGAGTGTTGTACTTGAATTGAGGTCTATCACCAGCTTCCTTGAAGGCTTTTAACTTGATTTGGAAGGTTCCTTGCACTAGACAGTGAGTGGTCTTAACCTATATCTGCTCCTCTTCTTGACCTTGTGTTAAGTAGACTGCGTCTCCATTTTCTTGAGATTGAGATAAAGTCGATTTGATTTTTAGTGTGTCCATCTGGTGAAATCCATGTCGCTTTGTGGATATCTTTGTGCCTGAACACACTGCCTCCAATCACCAAATCGTTGAATGCGCAGAATTCTGCAAACAATTCTCCATTCTCGTTCATCACCTCACCGAGCGCTTCTCGACCCATGGTTAGTTCTCTTCCCGTGTTGTCCCCTCCCAGTTTGGCATTCATGTCACCCATTAGAATTTTGATATCGCCAACTGCAGTGTAGTCTTGTCGAGTGTTGATTGAAGTTGTCTGTAGAATTCCTCCTTTTTCTCTTGCTCTGCATTATTTGTAGGTGCGTAACCTAGCATTGTATGATTGTGACCTTCCTTCCTTTTGAGTTGAATCTTGCTGTCATGATCCTGGAGGAGATTGGTTCCCACCGCATGAGAGCGTTCGATGCTGTTGGGGACATCATGATAGCCACTCCCTCAGTGTGCTCGTGGTTGTCGTCTGGGTGACAGCATCGGAGTAGATTATTGATTCTCCAGATGACAGTTTGGAGAGTCCACTCCCATTCCATCTGCTTTCGCAAATCCCAAGCACTTCGATGTGATACCTTCTCATCTCATTTGCAATCTGTGCTGCCTTACTGGGTTCAAACGTGGTGCGGACATTCTATGTCCCCACGTTTACTTTCGCTTTCATCGAGAGAGGGAAGACACATCGACCAATTGGCTTCCCGAAGGCTTTCACCAATTGGCGTCATTTCGCCTCTCCGATTCCAGTGGGGAATAAGTTTGTTTTCATTTTTTATATTTTGTTTGTGCTTTGAAGTTTCTTTAGCGGTTAGATTTGTTTTACGGGGTAGGGTTACTATCCCTATGCCCAACCTTCCCTCTTTAAGTGGGCTTAGGACCGGCTAGTAACTAGTGAACTAGTTAACCAGGCGAGGCTATGAAATCTGCTTGAAGCTCATAATTATTATATTTATGGTTTTGGCTGCTAGTTATGAGAATTTATGAAAGTAAATGTATATAGATTTTTGTTCGTTAATAGCAGAAGAAAAAGATTGTACAGAATAAAGTTCGAGATTATTTGATTTCCTATCTCTTCCTAGCAGAAAGTCTAAATAAATCTCATATCATCATACAGCCGAATGAATTACTTACTTTTATCTTTCTGTTGGTCTGTCTCTCCAACAGGCAGTCATTCAGCCAGTGTCAAAGTGCTACCTTACATTACTGTAAATCAGTTCAAGTTGTTACACAACATATCAACACATCAAATGTGAAGCTATCGAAATGAAAGATAAGAAAGTAGGAGAGAATAGTTAACAAAAAATACCAGGAAATCGTAATAAGAGCAGAACGAGAGGTAAAAAGATGATGAAATATGATATTATGATTCAGTTAAAGACGTGTGGATGCATCCACGCGTTCCCACGTAGTCATCAACCGTTGCTTACCATCCTCAGGCAAACCACAATGGGGAAGTTTACACTGGTCTATATGGCTTGGAACAGAATTAAGAGGGACCCTGTTAACATAAAAGTTGAGCAGTTGGAAAGTCATTCATCTGTAAGAAATGTACATGAGTTGATCTGTAGTGGAAAAGCGATTTATCTGTCTTTTAGCTGATGTTTAGCAGTGATCGACGTTTATCAACAAGATCTTTTTTCTGATTGACTCTCAGCAGCTAAGACCACAATATGAAATGAATCAATATTGGACCATGAAGTTTGTAAACAATCTGCAAATTGATCATGTTGATTGAGGCATACCGGTCTATCCAAATCAGTTAACCAGTCTATCTGAATAATTGGCTTTTTCAGTTGAATTTATCCACTGATTAATTTGATCCTAAAGAAGGAAAATGGATGTCCCACCTTCAGATCGTTTTGACCTGACTAGAGATATCTACAAATCTATGTGAGTGGTTTCTTACTACTCATGATGTTCAGTACCTTACCTTCGTGCACTCACTGTAATGAAAACAATCAAAGGTGGCCTGACTAATGCATGGCACCAGTGTATGAAGTCTTTGACTGTTGGTCTGAGCTATGTAAGGAGATCGCCAAGATGACAAGAATCAGCGGTTCAGGACTCTTGATGCAATGGCTAAGAATTAGCTATAACGGCGCAGATGTATTCACTCCCTGACGTCTTCTGAAGCTTGAATGTTTCGACTAATCTTCACTTTTAAATTCTCTTTCCTCCCATACGCCTTCATCTACTTTGATAGAGGTCGTTTCCTATCCATTTGTTCTTTACGTGACAATTTGAACCTATTCTGTTGTGTGTGTGAGGCTCTGCGTTGATTTTTTCAGTCCTACTGTGTGTCAGTCTGCATGAGTTTTGTAAGCTTATCAGTTCATTACTACAATGGAGTTTTCTTCAAACATTGGGTTCATTGAGAGTAACATTGAAAACCAAGAAATAATACATGTTAGATTTGTCCTTACTCAGCCTGGGACTCTTTAGCCGTAATCAGTCATTTCACCATATAGGATCCGGCTTATGGCTGTAAGGAATATCATTATACTTTCATAATTCAGTAGCTTAGTTCCAAACGCTATCGCGTTTGGAACGATCAGTTGTGGGTTCAAGTCATAGCGTAAACATCATCACTCAGTGTAAGGCAGGTACATCCAGCTAACGAATTCCAAATAGGAAGAAACGTACGTCCTGGATTCTCCTGTCAGTTACTATCTATCAATAAAATCAAAATTGAAATATATAGGCAATAATGAAGAATCCACACAGTGGCTCATATAATAATGGTGGCTGATCGATTCGATCCAGTCAGTGACAGATTTGTGGGGTGTAGCATCAACATAACCACTTTCACTTATCCTAAGAATGAATTTTTATTTATTCACTGTATAGGAGCTTAAACAACGCGCTGATGAATTAAAAGAAACAAGAACACTAATGAATGAAATAAAATACCGATTACAACAACTTGAAGTGGAGTATAGAAATGATTATGCAGTAAGTTACAATTAATCCGGTGTTTTTTTATGCATTGACAATTGTAGTGGAAAAGATATTTTCTTTGTGATGGTTCACCGAATCCAAGTATTGAAAAAGAAGTCAATACATTCATGAGTTTATGGGATTTGAATGAAGAACGTACATCTATGGAAGATGTAATGAATGATTGTGTTCAAAGTTTAAAAGTAGGCGGGTTGTATTTATTAAATATTGAATGTTCAATATTCAATAGCTTATTGATGAGTTGAGCAAATTAATCTCAGAATTAAACGATAATGATGAAGATAATAAAGCTCGAGTTAAATATGAACAAGTAAAAAACATAATTTTTACTAGGATTAAGAAAATAATTTTGTTCTAGACAAAACATGAACTACTACAACAGGTACATAGTAAACTTGACAGAGCTACAGTTGAAACATTGTCAAGAGCTGTTCATTATGCAGATCATGAAACATTGAATCTACAGAAAATTTGGTATAATGACTGGATTGTAATGTGTATTTGGGGGAATTTATCTAAAAATCCAAGGTATCAGAATATTAATCCATCTCCTTTTACTTATTTAACCGTTTTTTTTGCAAAACATTTAATTGTTTACCAAAGGATTAGATACTTTACATTCCCAGATATTGATGTCACCTTTGATATACCAAAGATTTTAACACTTTCTGATTGTGCCTTCTTGATAACTTTCATGAAATTTGACAATTACTCCATTCAATGTCAATCATATTACCCATATAAAATGCCGAAATCAAGTGAGTAGCATTTATCTGTATGGATTAAAACAATTTAAATACAATATAGTTATTGAATCATCACTCGTGGAAGAGACTATGCCAGAAGATCATCTTCTTATTGGAGATAATGGTCAAGTAACGGACAATCAAACTGTAGAGGTAAGTTAAAAAAACTCTAAACTTGTAACAATTCACTTTTGAACTTATCTACCATGAATGATGAGTCATTCCTGTTGTATGTGTAAGATTTGGATTCAATGAATAAGAATTCTGTGATCTATCTGTTCCTCCGCCTAGATGCATTGGATTTTAGAATTGTCACCCTCTCCCACTCTATATTGTGATTAGGGGTTAGTGTATACTGAGCGATAGCACAGTTTTCCTCTAACTTACCTCATTAAGGTCTGTCATTGTATGTTTCGCTAAATTTTTGTACTCCGTTACTCTGTCTTACCCAGGTCCGTTACTTTGACCTATATATTGGCCTATACTGATAGAAATGATATGTAGTGGATAGTAGTGGCATTTGAAGTGATTTGTCTTGAGTTTCAATATTGGTAGGAACAACACCACTCGCTGGAGGCAAATACATACAACTGATAAGTCATAGAGAGAATGAAACTCGTGTCTTGTATTCCACTGTTATCAACTAGCCATCATTATCATCAAACTAGGATTATCGGTGAAACTCAGATATCTGAGCAGCTGCCCATATACCAGTAGTAGTCGTTCAGTCAAGTTCAATCATCGAGAAGAAACTATACTCAACAACAGCAGGTTGAATTGCTTGACCACTGTTTGCAGATGCAATCCAGTTGACCAGTCTCAAATTGAACGGAATCCTTGTCCTAGATTTCACTGCTAGCCACCACGTAGACTACAATATGATGAATAATTGGGCAGTATCCAGGCATTTACATACTAGCAAATCTGTCAACAGAGGTCGGGCAATTCGAGCTAGTATAGCAACCGGAAATTACAAGTTTCATTAAACAAGATCTCCTAGTAATATTACAGAAATTCATAGCGTAGTTTTAAACTTGCTTCCACTAATATTTCTAGGTTGTTGACTGCGTAGTTCACGATACTGTTTTCCATGCATATCATTTAGAATTTATGCTCTGATGAAGATCAAACAACTGAAGGAGAAGAAGTGGTCGAAACACCTTTAGAAGATCGAATATCTACTCCAGGTTGTTAATATTTATAAAAAACATTTTTGTTTATGTATCCACAGTTTCTGGTTGAGATGTTTTAACAGGTTAACTTCCTTGAGCGTCTAAGGATTCATAGGCTGAAGTTAAGATGTCAGTCTAGACATGATAAACAGTGGACTTAGTACGTCAATAATTGTTTAGATAATTATCAGATGGTCATTACATTACACTTCTCTTTGACTGCTTCACCTTTTTTTAACACCATTAAAATACAAGAACTGGACTGCTTGTTATTATTGATATTCACATCCGGATGGACAGAGACGAAACCAGCGTGGTACCTGGCACATGATATATCCTCATTAATGAAGTGAACAAAGCTAAAATGATTAGGATTAAACTAGGTCTTTTCTTCAGTATTTAGGTATATTTGATGTCGATAAGTTTACCATACAATATGAACATTCTTCTGTATGCTGAAACTCAAAGTTTTTTTAACTAATAGAAATGTTGAAAAAAATCCTTTAGGGGTTCTTTGTGTAAATGGAGAGTACACTACATTCAAATATTGTAACTATAGTCTAAGAAAACATGACAAAACTTTGTTAGACATTCTGAAGATGAAAGGTATACCTGCCAGTCGGCTGAATGATAAGGTTGGGAAAAGGAGTGAATAAGTTCATCTATCAATAGTCTTACGATAGTTCCTCCAATAGGCAGCGAAGATGAAATTAGGCCGGATCAAGCGTTTTTAGTTATACATAGAGTTCAGTATAATTAACTGACTGGCACACGATTAAATCTTCTGTATGTAGCAAAATCACCGCAAAAAGGGTCAAGGGAATCTTAATGAGGCATTATGGTCCAATGTTATATGAATAATACAATGAAAGAGTAGTATAGTCTACTACAATGCACAAATTCTACTCTTATACTATGTACTGCTCAAACGGATCCTTATCAGTAGTATACAACACATTGTTGTCTTCACTATGAGTACTTTTATAATTACCGACACTAGTGTCTTCTATAATGCTTTTCACATTTCGTTATTACATTCGCATAATGTTTATTCGATTGACTACAAAGCATCATCTGATGAAACCTTCTTCTAGAATAAATTCACGTATTTGTTGGTTATACGTTTATCATCTTTAAAATTGCGTCTTTCTTTTTGTTTATGTTTATAGCATATATATATTTAAAGCATAAGTAGCGCAAAACTGATTATTGGTTCATTTTTAAGACCTGCATTCAATGGGTTCAATTTTACTGAAACATGATACTGATCGTGTCAACATTTTGTCTCCATGTCGTGCACTGTCTTTTGTATAACGTATTACGTATAGAACCTGGAAAGGAGGTTGTTGGAGAGAGTATTTCACTTAAATATTTCTTGATGTAATGATCCGAGAAGGTGATTGAAAGCGAGTAGGATTCGGACAATTTGCCTCCGGGTTATCATCTCAGTGATGGACCATCTGAGCTACAGAACTAAGCTGCTGACTAAATCTTCATTTCACGTCTCACTTCTGTTGTCAAAATTTTCGCCCACATGAACTAATGATACGTGACTGCCCGTTTGTCAAAATCACACTGGTTACTCAGTTCAGTGATGCCTTTGAAGTGAAGGCAGGAGTAAGACAAGGTTACCGCAGCAGACAACTGTGTAGAGCGAGAAGATGGGCATATGCTGGCTGGACCGATGAAAAGAACGTAGAAGATTTGAATTTCACCGATGATGATTTATGTTAAATGTCCTGTGGTACAAAATCGAAGACTTACAGACAAAACTGACAAGTTGGCAGAAGAGGCAGAGAAGGAAGACGACACTTTCTTCAGGTGAACGTAGAAAAGACAGAGGTGATGAAGATACCCAACCGGACCAACAGCAACAGGCACCAATCACCATCAACGGGAGACTTCTAGAGGAAGTTGTCTCTTTCACCTACCTACCCACCTAGGAAGCATCGTTTCAACTACAGGCGGTGGTGGCACAGATGAGGATGTCCAAGCCAGGATCAGAAAGACAGCAAGACAAGCCCTTTTTCATTAATCTGAAGTCAGTATGGAGATCCACTGAACCCAACATAGAGCGTGAACTAGATCCAAATTTTCAGCGCTAATTCAGTCAAGTAAGTCAATGCTTCTATGTGATGGTTGAGAGACTTGGCGGTGCGTTACAAAAAACACTGTCAACAAACTGCAGACATTCATCAACAGCTGCCGCCTACCCTCACTCGTCACTGAAGATCAGATAAGCAGAATAATAACAATAAGTAATAAGGACCTCACTCTGGCTGGCAAAGAACCAACCAACAACACATTGCCGAACAAGTATGCTGAAGAAAGTAGAGATGGATTGGGCATACATTGAGAAGACCATTTGGAGACATCACGTGTCAGGCCAGGTCATCGAGTGGAACTCAAAGGGGAAACGACGAATTGGGTATCCCAGTCGAGGGTGACATGGAGGAGGTTGTGTGAGGAAGAAACAAAAAGCTGTGGGCAGTCTTGGAGGCAGATTGAAAAGACTACAGAGAAGAGAGTGAAATGGTGGCGTGCTAGTGAAGTCCTATGTCCCACTAGGAACCCAAAGGAAAAATAGCAATGAATAATAATAATACACCATACATGTCCCAGTTAATCTTCGTTTCCTTATTGCGCTGATATGATTTTATTGTAGTCTGCCGCATTTTTTATTCTTTCAAGTATTTGTTTCATTCAGTAGTCAATTTGATGTTAAGATGTATTTATTTATTACCCATCTGAGTGGGATGTTTTCCAAGTCTTAGTTATATATCTCAAAACTGATTTTTATGGTGCAGTTTGTATTCTTTTCAAAATTCTACATAAAATTATCTCCATAGTTTAGCTAAAAATTTAAAATAAAAATTTCTTCATGTTCTATAGTTATATAATGTAAACATTGAGGAACTTCATATCGATAATACTGAGATTCCACTTATCAGTTTATTAATAATATTACACTGTTGAGGAAGTCACTTCAGAAAATTCTTGTATAACACACTAATTGAAGGAAATGACCATCCTGTTAAATTCACAAATAAACATACAGTTATAAAACTGGCAAGAGAGGATATTCCAACGGCTAGCAGGACACCACTATACATTCGGATACAATTTAGAGGTAACATGCTTAGCGAGATATTAATTCACAACTTACATAAAAAAACTTTTAGTGCTGGTAACTTACGTTTTTTATGGGCTCAATAGTCATATTGAGACTGAAAGGTGAATTTCTTAGACTAATCACTTCTTGTTGTTGTCATCGGTTTGACTACTCCTGGTGAACTAGTCATGCTGTTCACTGTTCTAGGAATTCGATTTCCTGTGCTCCCAAACACCTTCCAACTTGATGAAGGCCATTATCATCTGCATATTAGCGCACGTAGATCAGAGGAACCATATGATGGATATGAATAAGTCATTTTCCATTATGTACTGCGTTCCAATCAATCCGCATAAATGTACCCAGCTCCAACTCCTTCAGACTATGTGAGCAGTAGCAATCAGGATCAAACTTTGTGAGTTGTGTTCAAAAATGTAATTGTGGCAGTTATAAGTACCGCTGCCTGATTAGAGACGAACAAATTCCTCGGCATCCTACTCTAGTAAATCTAATTTTTGAATTCCGTACTGTAGATATCCCTTCATTTCTATAATCTAGAATAATATAAACGTATTCTCTTAACCTATTTTGTCTCCCAACATGAGTAACTTTCTGTCAGTCTATTATTCGTCAAATCATCTTTTTTTGTTGATTTCATTCAACTCTCATAAACATCTTCCTATTATTTTATTAAATTATCAGTTTATAACATCACCTACACCATATAATCGTTTAGATAACCAATTGCTTCGGAATGAACCCATGTAATAATTGGTTCTGACAGTAAAACGTTCATATGAAACTTTTCTGAAGTGAAGTCCTCAGTCGAATAATACTATTTACAGACTATTAAGCGAAACCTTAATACTGTTAGTGAATAAGCGAACAGTATCAATGTATAACTGTAGGATCTGAAGAAGTAGTTATCGAAAAGCATATTCTTTATTTACTCAAGTGGCTTTTGAACTATAATGGGAATTTTTAAAGAAAATGAGATTTTAGGTTAGAATTCATCATGGACTGACATCATTTGAAGGAATGTTAGGAACTTGGAAGCACTGGACAGATGTTTCGTCTCACTAGTATGGGAGTCCTTAGAAGTGTCCACCCATGACTTCGCCTCATCAGGGATCGAACCCAGGACCTTCAGGTCCCCAATACTACAAAGAAACAGCTTTTCAGTGCTCCCAGGTTTCCAATTTTTCGCCAACTGATGTTGGTCCATGATGAATTGCAACCTAAAATAAAATAAAATAAATTAATTAATTAGATCGAGTACATCTAGCGCTCATTGGTGGTTAGCTTCGAGAGGCGATTCCCGAAGTTCCAATAGGAAGTCGTGACTTGTGGGAGCTCAGCAAGTCGAACATGAGGACAGTCACCCAACGATGACATTGGATGTAGGTTGCGCTATATCATGAACTGACAGAGGTAGGAAACATGGACCATTGAATTTTGGCGCAGTGGCTAGCTCAGTGGTAACATGGTGGTCAAGGAACCTAGGTGTTTTTAGTTCAAGCTCTGGTGGGGCGGGGTCGTGGGTGCGCACTGCTGAGGAGTCCCATACTATTTAAACGAAACAACTGTGCAGTACTCCCAGCTTTCCAATGTTCCCCAACTGATGTCAGTCCATCATGAATTCCAACCTAAAATCAATTAGTAAGTCTCCGCAAACCTTCAGAGAAAATGAGATTTGTTTGTAGTAAGGTATTGTACTGCACGGTTGCACTTTAATGCATTAAGCTAGCATCTTGAAGTACACTTAAGTGTTAACTAAACAGTCTAGAGAACAATCAATGAGAAGTGTGTTGTATAATTAGTGAACAACATATATCTATGTCAATCAGTCAACCACTGTAAACTACGCAAGCCCAGACAAACATAGAACCTAGCTAAGAAGTGCATCCGTTCAAGTTGCCATAATTCGCAGTAGAATACAAAGAACAAATGTATGGAGAAAGGCTCATATCAAAATAGACAGACGTGTATGGAATAAACGGAAATGTAAAAATTAATGTCATCCAAGCTTTAGAAGATGTGAAGGAGTGAATGTATCTAGGATATTGTATCGAGGAGGGTTATTGTGCAAACAGTTATTTCCCTGAATATCTATTGCTTATTGGTTGGTGTACAAAATTTTATTTACCTGTGGTCTGGTATGTTAGTATGGTAGATCGATTATGTAGCAATCAGAATACTAAAATTACGTTATCAGTACCTTCAAAAATGCTGTTAATGTCATGTATTTTCAGAGAACTTCAATTCATCAACCGCGAGTCAAATGAATGACAGACAATAATAACACTACTTACTAATTGTGAGTAGTATTAAACTATAAATATAAAACTTCCAGAATGGCAATGATTAATTCAGGAAATACAAGACAAACGAAGCAAAGAATGAAATTGGGTTTAATACTGTAGACATTGATTCCCCTCCTTTCATAATCTTCTGGCTTATTTCAGTATCCTTCTATTTTCATTTATGTCCTTTCTATAATGAATGCTCTAGTGTGGTGGGAATACGCGTATGTAGTCCGACCTTCTCCCGATACATCAGTTTGTCGACTTCTATAAGTCTTCCGACTAATCTGCATTATAAACAGAAAACCGCACAGGTCATGGTACTATGCAACGGTAATCAAATTTTAAGTCGCATGAGACGGTGGAGAAGTTTTAAAAGAGATGACTGTCTTCCACTTATCGAAATCTAACTGTTGATTACCGTGATATGCCTAAGGTTAGCTGTTGTTTGCGTTTTTAGAGTCTAGAGCATATGTAAAACGAGAATATTGACACAGATTCCATATCTGCTAGTATTCGTCGGCAAGGCATACCTGCAATGTTGAGTATCATTCTGTAAATCCCAAGGATAAAATTGGGTTTCAAATCTTGCAGCTGTGAACTCTCTATAACAAAAGTGTAGACTGGAAAATTCGCGACGAATGCTATGTCTCTTATATACCACAAATGGGTATAGGTTGTTTTTTAATGTGAACTTTACTTATAAATGAGAAGCTGGGGACAACTGGTGGTACGATTAAAAATTGATGATGACGGCTTAGATGTGCTTACCTTATATCAAGCTGAACGATTTGTTTGTCTTCACTGTCTCTCTTCACATATACTTATGTTCACTTTAGTATCCTTTTTTCCGTTCACTTCCTGTTCATGTCTCGTTATGAAGGGTAGGAAAATGAACTGTTTGTCCTATCTAATTCAATAAAAGCTTCTACTTGCTAAATACCGCGGAATGACGATAGATAATGAGTCCAAATATAAGGCCTTCGGTTAACTTTGAGAGGTACTTTACAGATTTTACAGAGAGTATACACTTCTGGAATCTTTTTAGTAGCAAAGAGGTTCACTGACGGATTCTGCCTCAATTGTACGGAAGTCAAAACAATTTCAGTAGGATTGATTTTCTATAGATGTTCTGATCACCATTTACGCACAGAAAACTTTTTATTGAGTTTTATGATAAATTACTAATCCTTAATTCAATATTTGGAGATATCCTCATAGATATGCTTTTTTTTCTACACATTTTCATTACTATCCTTTAGAGCCTGATGAATGGGTTAAAGTGAACATGGAAGAAGACGCTGTTGATTTAGGCAATTATCATGTTGTTGGTGGTGTAATCCGCTTCGATCTTCTCACATTACCTCGACAACCAAGATCAGGACGAGGATGGACTATAACTACTTGTGTAAAACCACCAAAACTTCGACCATTCGAATATGTGGTTGAAGAGCCATTAAAAACAGCTGAACAGATGGCATCAGACGCAAGTAAGTAAATTATGTAACAGCATGTTTTTTAGCGAATTCTTTGTAAGTGATAAGACACTTCATGGGGATTAATCTACTCCCTGGAGGTTATCTCATTGGCTTGAAGTATGCAGACGATATTTTCCTGCTAGGTGAAGACCCTGAAATAATACAAGGTCTTCAGAACGCTGTATGTTTAGCATAGGTTTCACACCAGTTGGATTTAAAATGACGCTTCAGGAATGGTTTGCAACTACTCCTAATTTAAGAATAGGGAGTGAAGCGGTTGAATGTGTCGACTGATTCACTTACATGGGTGGACACATCAAGCCGAAAGGAGAAGTTGCTGCCGAGATCTCAGCTGGTACAAAGAAGGGCCGTTTGATATTTGCGAACTTGCGTTATCTATGGTATCGACTGGCGAAGTATCTAACAATTTATTGAAGGACGAGTATGCTGTTCTGAAGACCATCCTATCCTTTTGTACGGCTATAACACATGGCCGTTAATAGTAGAAGACATGAAGAGATTACAAGGTTTTGATCACAGGTGTCTTTGTAGGAATGTTCGCGTGCGTGAGAGATGTAGAGGTCACGCACCGAGTACTAGGCGAGACATGCAAGTCGATTAATAAGATTATGAAGCTTCATTGACTGAAGTGACTTGGATATGTGTTGCGCATTCCGAGCCACCACCTACCGCAGAGTGCAATACTAGGGGAAGTTAAAAGAGGGTTGAGGGTGGGTAGACCAAGATCTGACACCAGTTGATGAAGTCTGTGACTGTTAGTGTGATTTGTATGGAGAGACGTCGACTGCCTGGCTGAAGTCCCCTAGACGATAGGAATTGGTGGTTCAGAACTCTTGGTTACATAGCTCAAAATTGGTCACAGTGGTGAAAATGTATTCATTCCTTGACATCTAAAGCTCGAATATTTGCATTAACCTTTATCTTCAGATGGTTTATTCTCTCACACAACTTTATCTACTTGGTAACACTTTCTGTTGACTTGTTCTTTGTATCCTGCTATGAATCATAACAGCCTGAACCGATTCACTCGGGTATAAGGTTCTGTCTGAGGTTCATGCTTCGTTTGCATAATGAATCTAAGTAAAGATGAAGCTATAAGTAGACAGAACTTTCGAATGACAGCTTGGACCGATCAAGCATTAAATCCTTCAAACAGTGACATTAAACAGGAGATTGAACTATGAATCTTGTCCATAAAATTCAGTCGAGATTTGTTAACTAGTAAGTTTTTAGATATTTCTAAAAGGGATGCTGATCACGGTGATAAGTATAATGCAAAGAGAAACATAATGTTAATTATTAGCCAATATATGAGAACGCTGAACATTAAATCTGCCAAGAATGAGAATAATTGACAAAATGGAATTTAAAAAAATTAGTTCTCTTTATAAACTTTGACAATACAATAAGAAGACGTAAATTGTCTGAACCGTGTAACGTGTCTGCGCAACACATTTCGATCTATCTGATAACACACGTACTTGTCATAGGTATTTTTATATAAAAATTCATGAAGATAAGGGGTGAAAAAACAAAGCGGTCAACTATGAAGGCTGAATTAGAAGCCAAATAACGAGGAAAATCAATAGAGCGAAAATAACAGTACATCGAAGTTGGTTTTCAATAGTTGAATTTACCAAGGAAGATTTAATGTGACAACAAATTGTTAATGAACACACAAAAATGGTTTCAACCTTCTAATAGCTAAGGCTTCAACAAATTTCAGGATCCTTCCCCAACATGTTTTGTAAATAGGTGTAAAGGAAGTAGCCACATCGATCTTGTGACCTGTCTCAACGATATATTTGGCGATTGAAGAACTTGGACGTCTGCTACTAACGTTTACGGGTTCAGGTGATTTAGTTTGCTTCTGAAGCCACTTTGGAATATGTTCCGAGACCCTTACTTGAATGGATCTATTAGTCCTCCCTATGTACGTGTCACCACACGTACATTTGAATTGGTAGATACAATGGGATGTGTGTGACATTGTCGTTTACATGCTGTGGGGGTTTGGAGGAACATACGGGCTTCGTGGTTTTGATTACTCGAACTCTGGCTGCATAGCAAGTCCTTCTAACAGCAGGGTTAAGTCTCTGCTTAAGGATCGCACTGTGAGAGTCACCTTTGTACGGAAGGCTGATGAAGACATCCTTCTTTGGGACAGACTGAAGATCTAGTTTTGGCACTCTGATTATTTCGTCCTGTCTAATAAATTTTGATGGATAGTTATTTTCAAACTATATATCAGTCAGTGTTCCTCTTTCATCTTCTAGAGTATCCTCTGTGCATATTCGTTGAATTCTACTGAATAAGCACTTAACTAACGTTCGCTTGTACTGAACTGGGCAAAAGCTATGGTAATTCAGATATTGCCCTGTCCATGTAAGTTTTCTGTATGGATCCATCCTGCCGTTGACTAGTTAGTCTATCCAAGAATGGCAAGCAGTCATCTTCCTCTCTTTCACATATCAAAGATATGCTATTCTGTACTTCGTCCGATCGGTTTAGAATTGAAGTAGACTGATTTGAGTTTTCACAAATGATCAGGATATTGTCAACATATCTTCGATACAGATGGACTTGGTCTATTAGGTTCTCGGCTAAGTTCTCCATGTATAACATAAATATGTGGACTTGGAGGGGACCTAAAAGACTTCCCATAGCAACATCATCAACCTGGCGGAAATATTCGCAGTTAGAGGTGAATTTATTATTGCTTGTACATAAAAGTAACAGCTCTTTTAGATAATTCAATGGGCATAATGGGCATCGAAAAATTAAACTCAGAAATATAATCAAATAAAATGTCAATTGTCTTGACTAAAGCGATATTGGTTAATAATGAGTTAACATCAGATGAACACATAAATTTGCTTTTTATGTTGACATCCTCAAGAGATTTGATTACCTCAAACGTATCTTTTAAAGAATGCTTACAGAATTGCTTCTTAATGGGATCCAGTAATTCTACTAGCCACTGGGTAAGCTTATGAGTTGGAATTGTTGGATGGAAATTAATAACTATCTATAAGTCTCACTACAGCTTCTAGTTAGTGCGTTCGATAATTATGTTGTGTCGAATTCAGTTTTGTACAGTGAATGTTGTGTAGTTACTCATCGCAAAATAAAGCTGCCAATTCATGCTCATAAAAAGTAAAGCATGAAAGTAATTAAAAGTATAATGAGCAAAATATACTACTAGACAGCTAGAGTAGTTAGAAACAACTCAAGATTATCTTTAAATTTCACCAGGCAACTAGATCAGAGTGATGTAAACACGAAACGTCCGTTTCGCTCGTTTGGGATAGAGTTAACTCCCCAGCCACATATCCATCTAGAGAAATTCTCTTCATAGAGAGGAATTGTTCTGATCACCTGAATCGGACTGGCTGACTTCCATAGATCAGTATACTTAAAATAGGATGATAAATTTACGAATGATTTACAAGTTATGCAGTCCATAATGACATTTCCCGCAACTGACTAGTTTTTCAACAGAGTGATATTATAGTAATGATGGATAGTGGCTAGCAGTGAGATCCAGGATGCACATTTCGTCCTATTCGAGACTCGTCAGCTGGATGTACCTGCCTCCTAGTGAGTGATGTTGTTCCCAATACAAGCAGTTATACTAAAACTATACTCGTCGCACAGGAAGTGGCTACCGTGGTTCGGTGGTGTAGTGGATAACGCTCTGGCATTTTAATTAATCGCTCCCGAAACCGATTCCCGGTGGGAACAACATCACTCACTGGGGGCCGCCAGGTACATCCAACTGACGAGTCCACTGCCAGCCACCATCTACCATTACTATAACTAGAACACAGGTAATATCGAAGCATCCGCACAGGAGATCATATGCGAATAGAGACCTATCAGTTCGGTCCAATTAACGACGGTATAATACAAGCAATAATACTAATAGTAGTATTAATCGAGATGAAATTTCACAAGTCAGTGGGGTGCTACTGTGCCATTCCGACCTCTAGGAATATTAACTTTATTATCGCTCAACTTTATTCTATATTTCATTAGTTCTCTCAGTCAGATAGCTGTAACTGGAGGTTGTTTGAAAAAAAATTGGTTGTCTTGCTTATATTAGTGTGGACAAATTCCACTGATCAACTTGATGGAAAACATGCGAGTCATTCATCCGATAGGGTTACATCCCTTTGTTATAATTGATGTTATCCGCATAACTTCTCATCAACTACGCATTTCACAGTCTTCGTACCTTTTTCGCAAGATTAATGTTTCTGCTAAGTAGTTCACAACTTATGGTGTGAACAGTTTAATTCGCACAAGGAAGGAACCATGACAGAGTCTTCAATTTAAGTTGGTTTGTACATCATCTTGAGATACCACTTCACGTTTCGAAGATCAAGTAAAAAACATTTTAGTTTCATGAAATAAAAGAACCTGAAATAGTATCATTTTATCGAACTTGGGATATGTTTAAAGAAAAAAAGGAGTGGAATGCTCTTCAATGATTAGATGTTGCCTGAATAAATCATAAGTGGGTAAGATAAACAACTTTTCACAGTATTACATGAGTTCATCTAACATATAATCCTACTCTATTCATCAGAGAACTATTCCTTACTTTTGTTCTTCTAAAATGCTGTAGGTTTGACTAAATCTCATTATTTTCGTCTACTTTGGGTTATGAAAACCCCGAGGCCTTTCTTCTGATCCCCGAACTGTGAAATGATATCTGAAAGTCAGTCATGGAAAATATCTATGAAACTTTTTCACAGTAACCATTTAGTTCAGTCAAAAATCGACAGTTACCTTTCTTTTGTTATCTCCAATTATTTATATCAATTTACGTGTAGCTACCGAAGTAGATATACTGGAAAAACTCAAAGAAGGGGTTATCTAAGATTTTCTGAACACATTCCATAAAGCTTACTACTGGAGGAGGGGGAAGTAACACTTTGAACAGTGCAATCATTTAGTATTTGATTGACACCGGACATCAATCAAAC